AATCTTGACAACTTGTGTTGCATTTTTTTCGAACCAGTTGACAACTCTGATCGTATTTAAACTTTTTTTTTATTAGTGCTACTCGAGTAATATGGAGTATTACGTATTAAAAAGTCAAATTTACAAAATTTTTGTATTGTATTTAATAAACAAGTTTGCTATACTATAAGTTACAAGGATCATTATATAATAAAAAGATTCACAAAACGAAATTGAAGTATAAAATTTTGGTTTTATTTATAGATCATTCAAATTCTAAGCTGTTATATTTTTATTAAGAACTTTTTTAGTGAAGATCTATTAATTGGTAAGAACAGTTTTTTGGCATAACTTTTTGTATCGTACATATTGGATAAGGCAAAAAAAAAAAAAAAAATTAATTAAGTGTTGAAAGAGTTGACATTGCGGATGTAATATAATATTGATCGAACAATGTGCTGTAATTAGGGATGAGAAAAAAACGGGTTAAACAGTTTTTTAGATGTTTTTAAACCATTTTTTTTAAAAAAAAAACATTTTAAAACATTGGCGCTGAGACTAAAATTTAAAATTTAAGGCTAAAATGCCGATTCACCAAGTTTCATAGAGATAACTTTTAAAGAAAAAATATTCACTTTATAAAGTTTCGTTTACTATATAATTATAAGAAATGTATAATTGCTTAATTTCTGATTTGACTATTTGTAAAATAATATATCTAATTTACGATCCACGTCTAATTTGGTTAATGCTATTTTATCTTCATTTGAACCGGAGGCTCGAGTATCAGCATTATTAAATAAATTTTTCATACTTTTTGGAAGCTTTTTGCATTTATATAAATGATCCTGACTAAATCCACAAAGTTCTTTCCACAGTAGTTACACTTTTGCGAGGTGTAGTTCGACCAAGTTTGTCAGTTTCCATAACCTTTGTAAAGTTTAAACGAGTTTCTTTTAATGGAGGTCTTCCACGAAGCATAGTTGTTAAAATACAATTAAATATTTTGAAAAGAAAAATAATTTATATTTATTTTATTTACTCTATATATCCTTTCTTTATACCGTATTTACTCGAAATAACGTGCAGGGGTGTAATTTCGAATTTTGGCCCGAATTGAGCTTAATTCGGGCCTGCGCGTTATTTCGAGTAAATACGGGATGTCTATTTTTTTACAGTCTACAGTTAAACTGTCTTCTTTTTGCCGTTCTGATGTAGTTATCGGTGCATGTTACTGTATAATAAAGGCAAATTAGTAATTAATATTTATCAAAACTAATGGTTTCTATAAATTTACTCTTTCATCCGAGGAATTTCAACCGATTGAAAATTTTAAGAGATAAATTATTTACCTTTTGTGTATTTGAAGGGTAAGGTCAGAAACATACGATAACATATGACCGGGAATACAGCAAATAAACGGTTTCTAATCTAACTTTATTTTTAACGTTAAGTTAAAACCGAAATTTGTTAAATGTCTTTCGCACTATAAATTAAACTCTTGGTAAACACTTTGTTATCTTATTACTATTATATGTATTTATTACTATATATTATATATATTTATATGTATGATTGGCGATAATTCTACATAAAAAATATGAAAATTTATTGCCTTACCAAGTAAAAGCAACCCCGAGATTGGATAAAATTTTGGAGAGGGTTTTACTAATAAGATTATACTCGAATATAAACAACCTCCCATTTTGACCTGCAAAAATCCCAAATTTTCAATTGCTTTTATTCGGTAACAATAATTTATTTGATCTTTTAATTTCAAGATTTCCACCAGAAAGACGGCTAACCCACGATGTTAACACCGTCTGACTTAACATTGCCTGACTTAACACTGTCTGACTCAACACTGTCTGACTCAACACTGTCTGACTCAACACTGTCTGACCTAACACTGTCTGATTTAACGCTGTCGGACCTAACACTGTCTGATTTAACGCTGTCTGACTTAACACTGTCTGACTTAACATTAACGCTGTCTGATTTAATACTGTCTGATTTAATACTATCTGACTTAATACTGTCTGACTTAACACTGTCTGATTTAATACTATCTGACTTAATACTGTCTGACTTAACACTGTCTGACTTAATACTGTCTGACTTAACACTGTCTGACTTAATACTGACTGACTTAATACTGCCTGACTTAATACTGCCTGACTTAACACTAAGAAGGAATTCAGTGGTGTTTTGTACCAAGTTGTCTAACATAGCATTGTCTGACAAAACATTAACTGATTTA